AGTTTATATTTTATCCTGTACAAAATGGGAAAAACTACATTATGCCATTTCTTTTGTTTCCCTCTTCAAGAAATCATCCTTCTACTTAGCTGAAATGTAAGACTGTCAAGACCAGTCAACAAACATCTCTTAAGTGCCGACTATGTGTCAGGCACCGTGCAAAGAGTTTGGGATACAGAGAAAGGCAAAAGACAGTCCCTGCACTCAGGAGCTCATAATCTAATACGTATCAACAACCACTATACAGGATAGATAGGAAATGATCAACTGAAGAAGGCACTAGAATTAAGAGGGATTGGGAAAGGCTTCCTATAGAAGGTGGTATTAGTAAGAACCACCTCCTCTAGCAGCATGTCCTCTAGTTGGTCATTGGAGAAGGAGTTCATTTTAGGGTGCCAACAGCTAAGATATTATTTAAAGTGGCAGAACTGGATCTATGATTTTACTGCTCTCTCTACTAATGCAGGTTGACACCTCTGCAAACTTATAATCTTAGAGTTGTTTGGAGCACTGAGGTTAAGGCAATCAATAAACGTTTAAGTGCTGTCTATGTAGCAGGCATTATGCTAAGTTCTGGTGATACAAAGAAAGGCAGTTTCAACACTCAAGGGGCTCACAATCTAAAGGAGGAAGAAGCTGAAAAGAGGAATGAATGGGATGGCTGCCTTTGGCACCCCCATTAAATGGAAGATCTGGGAATTCTCCATGTCCACTCTCTACCCTCTCCAATAAAAGGCAGAGGACACTGAGGAGGTGTGAGTTTCCTGGTGGATGTGATCTTGTAGGATGACGAAATTCATATGATGAAGCCCAAAAGCACAGCCAGGTGGCAGTAGATGAGATGGCTGCCCTAGGTACCTTCCTTAAACAGAGGGTGTGGGAAGAGCTTTCCTCCCTCACCCAGGCCATAAACTAGTATGTGTCTGAGGAGACTTGAATTCAGGTCTTCTAGATGTTAAGGCTCAACCTCTGTCTACTAGACTTTCTTAATATTTATAGACAACCTAAAAACTATTATTTTTGACATCTCCTGGCCCATTTTTTGCCATTCTACCATTATCACTGCAGATGTAGATGTTGGTCCCACAGGATTGAAAATGTTTGCATTTTTCTTTGTCTCATAAAGTGTATGACTAAGAGTCAAGGTGCTTAGAATCTCAGGAGAATTGAAATTGGGAGTCACCCAAAAGGCAATGAAAAAGCACTTTGTGGATATGAGCTTTCTGAAACACACATTACAAACAGGAATATAGAAGTAGTATCAAGGATGTCATCAACAAACACATGTTCAAAAAAGAAGATGGTTTGGTCATGTGGTGAGAAAAAAGGGATAACTAACTGGTGGACAGTGTGCATATCTTATTGGAATCCTCCCAATGTCAATAATGTCAAAAAGAAGAATCCCGGTTTGTTAAATGTATTCCCTTTAGCAAATATATGGCAGGACATGGAGAAGAGTAATAGAGAATGGGAAGCCATGTATAGATTTCAATCTGCATCACTGGAAGAAATGGCCACCAAGAGACATCTGAGATCCTTTGGAGGATTAGAGTATTGGAAGCAATCAAAAACCACCACAGATTTTCTTTTCAGTATGAGTATGTCATGGACAGATCTGCATCTTAAAAAGGTCATTTTGGCTGCTTTGGGAGGAATGGATTAGAGCAGAGAAAATCTGGTAGTAGAGAGAAGAGTTAGAAGGCTATTACAATTTTCTAATTGAGTAGTTATGAGTGAAAAGAATGGGATGATTACAGGAAGTGTCATGAATGAAGAATCAGTATAATGTAGCAATTAATTAGATGTGTGAGGATGAGTCCAGGTTTTGAGTCTTGGTGTGTAAAGGAAAGTGACTAAGGATAGGTGGATGTAGAATTTGCTGTGCTATGGTCCGTGGGGTCATAAAAAGTTGTATATAACTGAATAACAACAAACAACAACAGATCACAGAATGTTAGAGCTAGAAAGGCTATCTTGCCCCACTCCTTCCTTTTACAGATAAGGAAACTGAGACCCAAAGAGGTGAATTGACTTGCTTCACATATTCGTGGAAATATAAGGACAGGGAAGGAAGCAGGCCAGTCATTTAATGAGAAGGAAGGATAAGAGACAGATGATCTCAGTGTTGGCATGATACCCACATGATGGTAAGAGACCTAAAAGACCTCCAGAGTATTGAGTAAATCCTTCATGAAGGATTTATGGGTAAATATGGACAAGAACCTCATTGTGGTAAGGAAGCATTGGTAGGCTATGATTTGTGTTGGTAGAAGGAGAATTCACATTTATGGACACATGGATTCGTCAAAGTATAAAAGTCATATTATGCAAGTGTGACTATAACATTATACTCTAGAGCGTTAGAGCTAGAAGGAACCAAAATATATGGGTTGTGAATTTGTTTCATGTACTAAATTATTCATCTTTTACTGGACTGGACCTGTGATTCCATTAGTATGGGGAAATTCCAAGTAAGGAAACTCTGTCAATGCAGGATAACACCTTTTCTGCATCTTATGTGGTCTTAGAGAGTTGTCCAGACAGCTGAGAGGTTAGGTGATTGCCCAGGGTCACACAGGTAGCATGTGTCATTGGCTGGACTTGAACATTTTCCTGACTTCAAGGTTAGATCTCTATCTACAAGTTGCCTCTGAAAGAAACTTAGAGATCATATTGTCCAGTCTCTTCATTTTGCTGATGAAGAGACAGAGCAGTGAAATGACTTGTTTAAAAGTTTATGCAGCTAGTAAATGACAGAGCCAGGATTAAGTCTAGATCTTTTGGTTTGAAAGTCCAGTGTTCTTTTCATTATACCTACTTTCTCTATCTATATTAAAATTAGATTCAGCAAACATTTATTTTATTTTTAATATTTTTGTTATCCTAAAACTTAGCAAGCAAATCTACCGGCAAACATGAGCGTTTATATACAAAGAGCAGAAAAAGAAGGCTTAGGTACACATCTCAATTACGTATATCTTGTTTTTAAGTAAATTATTCTTCCATCATGTTATTTCCAAAGCTATATCCAACTTTACTGTTTCCCTCCCAACTTCCTTCTGTTCTGTGCATTTTTTAATGCTTCAGTGAAGTTCTTATTTTTTGCATAACTAGCATTATGGAAGCATAATGACACATATAATTATGCAACTCTATTGCATAATATGCAAGTCAATTCACCTCTTTAGGTCTCAATTTCCTTATCTGTAAAAAGGAAGGAGTTGGGCAAAACAATCCTTCTAGCTCTAACATTCTATGATCTAATCCTATAGTAATACATCCACCATCCCATAACTCAGCAAACATAAGTAAAGGCTTGCTAGGAACAAAGCATCTAATTGCTGAGTAACATACAATTCGCCCTTATCTATGATAGTTAACATGTCATAAAAGATAGGGGAGCTCATTGCTCAAGAATGAATGATAGACTGCATTAAAGAATGATATACTGGGTCTTCATTTTTATTGCAGAGCTGAACTAGATGATCATAAAGGTTAATTCCAGCTCCATAATTTTATGATTCTACTGATTGCACAGACAATCTGATAGAGAGCTGGCTTTGAAGTCAAGAAGCTCTGGCTTTAGGTCCTTCCTCTAACGTATACTGTCATCATGGACAAGTAATTTAGCTCCTGAGTGCCCCGCCCCGCTCCCGGTCCCGGGAAATTTTTCTAAGCTTCAGATAGGTTGTTCTGCATTGGTAGAGGGAATTTCATTTCCAGTTTCTAAGCCATCAATGAAATCATAGATCCAGAGGGCCCCCTCCTCAACGACAACAACAACGACTGGGGATCAACTCAGTCCCCCTGAACTCCAGCTTCCCTAGAAAGAATAGTCAATCAACAAGCGTTTATGAAATCCCTGCGATGTGACAGGCAATGGGCTAGGCTTTGGAGGACAAAAAGACAAAAATGAAGTAGTTCTTGCCCCCAAGAACCTTACTTTGGGGCAGAGGTAGGGGGAGAGAAAACAAGTAGAGAAATAAAAACACACGTATACAGAAGAAAGACAAAGTAATTGGGGGGATACTAGCAGCTGGGGTCACGTTCTACATATAACAGCATGAAGACGGTACCATAAGACTGAAGAAGATTTGTTTTTAGGGAAAATGGGAAATTTTATGTGTAGATTTTTTTTAAAAGCCAGTACGATTTTGAAAAGATGGAGTGACTCCTGCCCACTTCTGAAACTCTCCTTCGGATGTTAAATGATTGTCAAGTCAGTAGATGTGCCATTCAGGATAGAGAAGTATGAAGAAACCTAGAATAGACTGTGCAGTAACTAACTGGTTGGGGAGAACAAAAAGCCATTCTTGGCGGAAGGTGTGTGAATGAGTGTGTGTGTGTATGTGCACGCCTGCGTGTGTACACACTGGTGTCTAATGGCACAGACAACCACACCTCTGAGCTCTCGGACACCTCTGAGAGAAAACCACATACCTCAGCCGCACACACCGAGCCCAACAGGAACTTTCCGCAGGACTGGGGACAAACAACCAAACAGGCACGTTTGTTTGAGGCTGTCTCGGCTGACCAGGGGGTCGGGCAGGTTACGGAGTTAGTACATTTCCTAAGCCCCAGGCATCTGAGCTGAGACTAGACGGAGGGGAAGGGTGGGTCGGAGAGCACTATAAAAGTAGTGTAAAGTTTGTGTGTGCACTAGGCTGGTTGAGCCCAGATCGATCCTGCCCCTTGCAGCCTTGTCTGCCTGAGCCCGAGTGGTGGCGGTGATGGTGTCACCTGAAGGGGCAGCAACCACAAAAACAGCTGCAGCAGCAGCCTGCTCCAGCTCCGCAGCAGAACCGCACCCCCACTCCTTCATCCCCACCCCCTCGCTCTCTGCCCAACCCCGCTCAGTCTCGTCTGGCCGCTCTGTTCTCCTCGCTCGGCTCAGACTGCGGGGAAGCCTCGCTCAGTGCTAGCCTCGCCAGAGGACTTGTCGGGCGCGTAACATGGCTGAGCGCCTCGCCACCCTTGGCGCCTGTTCTCGGCTGCTGGTCTTACTCTCCCTGGCTTCGCTCTGGAGCTGCCTGCGGGCGCGCTTCGCAGCCGAGGCAGACCCCAAAGATGCGGAGGCAGGGGCGGAGGTGGTAGTTTTCCCAGAGTCGCCCTTGCAGAAACCCACAGTGTTCGTAACCATCCTGGCCCGCAACGCTGCGCACACGCTGCCCCATTTCTTGGGCTGCTTGGAGCGGCTGGACTATCCCAAAGATAGGATGGCCATCTGGTGAGTCTGGGGGACAAGGGCAAAGGGAGGAAGATAGGGCTGGGGGCTGTCCCCCTCGGCGTCCCCGGGAAGTGAGGAGAGCCGTACATCCATGCGTGCCAGTCTCAGGCTGGTGCGCACCAGAGCCGGAGGGCAGGGGAATTGGATTCGTCGCCCCGTGTGTGGGGAAGGGAGATGGGAAATCTTATAGTTATCAAGGTGAAAGTGAAGGAGGGAGACAGAGGAGCACTGCTTCAGCCTAGCGGAGTGGGGGCCTGCAGAGGAAAGGGAACAACGTGGTGCTTCCAAAGCTCACACACCCCTCAGCCTTCCCGGGGAGGGGGAAGGCAGACGGCTGGGGGAGGGGAGTGTAGGGAGGGGGACGGCGAAGCTTTTCTAGGCACTCTGAGCTCCTGACAGGCGACCATGGAGGGTGGGAGAGGGAGAAAAGGGAAAAGATGAAATCTTGATTTCAGACAGATAAAGGGGTGCGCCATCCTTTTGGAAACTTCAGACACCTCTGGGCACACTCGCACCCCCCCCAGCCTTGAGAATACCTGCTTCCTCGGAGCTCTTCCCTCTCCTGAACTCTGACACGGATTGACTGGCAGCTGAGAATTTGACTCTCTATGTGGCTGGGGTTGCTGGGCTACTGTGTTTCTTCCCTCTCCCTCTTTACCTCCTTTACAAACTTCACTCGCTTACAAACGCTTGTTCCCGGTACCGCCTCCTTCCATTCCCCTGCCCCCCCCCCAATTCATCCTTCAAGTTCCCGCCCAGCACTCAGGGAGTAGGAGATATTTGTGTTCCCAGCATTTTGCGCGATGCCAGGCACGTAGTAAGCGCTTAATAAATGTTTGTTGATCGACTCATTATCGCTGAGTACTCGGAGATCTAAGTGAAGGAGGTGTCTCTCCCCCCTCCACCTGGGAGGCTGTGTTTTCTCCTTCCTCCTCCTGCAGCAGCACCTTCATTCTGTGCATTCCTCAGCCTCAGATATGCCACCCGAAACAGGACATCCCATGGCACGGCTATTTGTTTCCTAAAGGAGACGCCCTCTGGAAGGTAAACAGTTCTTCTGTTTATTCCCAGAAGGAAGGAACTTCGAGTTTCAGTGGAGTGCTCCACAAGTCACTAGTGCTTTGGGGAGACATAGGGGTGACTGGCGAGCTGTCTGAGAAGGCGCTTCACAGCATTGATTGCATTAGGTAGGGGAATGGGACAGGCTGTCCTGCCAAGCAGCCCTGTGCATGTGGGGACGGATGAATTATGACCAAGGTGAGCTGATTTGTCAGGTGTTTGCCTACAAGTGCAGGACAGAGAACTGGTAACCCTTTCCCAGTTTCTGTCGGTTGTTATTACCAAGAAGTTACAAATTCCAAACAAGACAAGTAGCAAGACCGCGTTGGGGGGGGGGGGGGGGGGGAAGAAGGAAAGAAGCCATCAGCCTCAGATGTTTCTCAGATGGTTTAACTTCATGGCAGAGGTAGGGAGGAGAGAAAGCAAACAGAGCTAACACAGTGCAGTACTGTACATGACTGGAACTGTGGAAAAAGTATATATGAACTCTGTGTGTGTGTGTGTGTGTGTGTGTGTGTGTGTGTGTTAAATCACAAGCAGGAATTTTGTAATAACCCATCAGTACCAAAGGAATATTGTTTCTCCAGTAGTAGCTGGTTATTATTTTAAATGAAAGCCCACGGAGATTACTGTATAAAATGTTTGGCTTTAAAAGGCACTACTGTATGCGGTCAACAAAGCAGGTGATTTCAGTGTGAATGAGTGTCAGGTAAGAATTAAAGCTTGTGGGTAATCAGAGCTAAAAATCCACAGGGAAGTTATGTAAGCATGTTTTAAAAAAAATGAAGCAGTGATGCTCAAAGATCACTGGACAGACAGCCAAGAGACTTGTGTTCTAGTTCTGGTTTTTCTGATAACTAGTTGTATGACTGTCCACAAGTTCTCCCAGTAACACCAAGCCTTAGTTTCCTTATCTGTAAAATGAGAGGGTTGGACTGGATTATTGCTTATGTCCTTTCCCAGGCTAAATTTTTTGGGGGTTTTATTCTGTATAAAAGCATGCACTTTCAAGCTCTAGATCTATAATGCTATGAAAAGGTTTAGGTAGTTAGGGGTTCTGGTAGCTTATGACCTAGTGTCTCAATCAGAATTGGACTCCCACTCTTTGCAGACACAGAATCCTTTGGCTTTGGAATCAGAGAACTTGACTTCAAATCCTGCCTCTTTATATAACCTGTCTTTGCTTCAGTAAATGAGGGTGTTGGATTAAATGGCTCTGAGGTCTCTCCAGCTCTACAATCCTTTGGTTCTGTGTTCTTTCAGGTTTTATTTTATATTTCACCAGCATCTGAAGGCCAAGATAAAATGCTTAAGGATCTTTTGAAGTCGGGGGGAACCTCTGCACTAGACAAAGAGGGCCCCACTTTTGGAAGTATCAGTTCTTTTCAGTTGTTTCTGACTCTCCATGACCCCATTTGGGGTTTTATTGGCAAAGATACAAGAAAGGTTTTCGATTTCCTTCTCCAGCTCATTTTACAGATCAGGAAACTGAGGCAAACAGGGTTAAGTGACTTGTCCAGAGTACCACAGCTAGTAAGTGTCTGAGTCCAGATCTGAGCTCAGGACTATGAGTTTTCCTGACTCCAGGCCTGACATTCTCTGCGCTTGGCTACCTAGCTGCCCATCTGTTCAGACGTGGAAATTGAAGCCGTTTGCTGAGTAGTGGTGCTATGAAGCCGCTGCTGCTGCTGCTTTAGCAGCAGAGGTAGTATATGATATGGTGGCTAGGGCACTAGACTTGGAGGGAGGGAACCCCAGGTTCAAATCCTCTCTCTGATATTTATTTCCTAAAGGTAGACAAGACAATGGCCTTAGGCGAACCTTCAGGACTTCTTTTAATATGACTAGACTGGTTAGGATCTGCCTTGGTGGAAGGATCTTCCACAATGGAAGCTCCTCACACTTTCCAGTTCCTACTAATATTCTGGTATGATCCTGTTACTTCTAGTGGAGAGGGCATGAGAACAGTAGGCAAAGACCTAAGCTCACCTTCGAGTTCATTCCAGCAACTCACTTAACCTCCCTGAAGCTTAGTTTTTACCATCTGTAAAATGGTAATAAGAACACTTTCACCACCTGCTTCACAGTTTTGTTTTGTTTTTTAAACAGGAAAGCACTTTACAAAAATGAACTCTATAATCATAATTTTTTACAATTTCCAAAGTGTTTTAATGTCTAACATTTGTTGCTCATAACAAACAGCCCTGTGATGTAGACATGGCAGATTTTTCAAAGAATCGCTGTTTTAGAAGGTAAGGAAGGAAGGAAGGAAGGAAGGAAGGAAGGAAAAGAGAATTAAGGACCTACCATGTGCCAGGGACTTTACGTATGTTACTACATTTGATTGTCACAACAACCCTGGAAGGCAGATACTATTACTATCACCCTCATTTTACAGATGAAGAAACTGAAGCAGACGTTGATTGCCCCACAGATAGTATCTGAGGCCAAATTTAAATTCAGTTCTTCTTGACTCCAAGCTTAGGATTCTACCCACTGTGTCACCTGGGGAGGTGGGGGTGGGAGTGGCCTTAGAGATCAGCTTTCTCATTTTATAGATGAAGAAATTGAGGCCCAGCAATGGGCCATGGGCCTTGTCCTTTTAAACTCATCCCAGTTTTCCGATTTATTTTTCACTAGTTTCTTTGGCCCTCTTCCACCACACTTTGGTGGAATGCCTGAAAGGGGGCCTTTTCTGTGTAATTTAAGTGAGAGATCTGCTCAAATCGTTGTGTTCTGACTCCCCTGAGACATTTGTTTTTTTGTTTTTTTTTTCACCTGAAATTCCCCACCAGACTGTGCAGAGCTATTGAAAGTGGATATTAAGGAGTCTCAAAATAACATTGGAAAACTGAGTGCAATTGTCCCAATCAACAAAGTTTATAGTTTTGGGTTTTTTGTTGCTTTTTTTTTTTTTAGTTAGAACAAGTGAGCGAGATGGTGAAATGGATGGAGTGCTGAAGTTGGAGTCAGGCAGACCTGACTTCAAATCCAGCCTCAGATACGTAGTAGCTGTGTGGTTTTACACAAATGACTTAACCTCAGTCTGCCTCAGTGTTCTCAATTATAAAATGGGGATAATAATAGCATCTACCTACCTACCTCAGTTGTTGCAAAGATCAAATGAGATAATATTTGTAAAGGGGTTTGCAAAGCTTAAAGCACTATATAAATGCCAGCAGTTATCGTTTATGCCAGCCCATAGTTAATTATTTGAGACCACAAAAGGGGTATCATTTTATAATCCCGTTTTCCTGTGTCTAAATGTCCTTCCTAAACGCTTCCTTCCACTATTCCCCACCTGCAGATCTCTATGTACAGCAAATGGAAAATAAGTAGAGTGATGCTTCCTACTTTGGTCTAAACTTATGTCATCTTTTAGGTTAAAGTAGCTGACTGAATGGACATTTTTTTTTTTTTTACTGAAGAAGCATTGTTCTGTTAGGTAGTTACTCAATTCTAATGACTGGGGTGAGAGGGAAGCAAATTGGCCATTGTGAGTATTCTCTTCAATTCCATAACACTGTTTAAGCACTGCCTTAGCCCTGGAAGGCTGACTTTTGTTTTCATTGCCAACAAATGATGGAGAGCTGAGCCAAGTTCCATGAGGATATGAAAAAGGAGCAGGGAGATGGGAAAGCCCTTGGACCAAAATGCACATTACAGTTTGTACTTTTGCAAATTTCTTGGAGAGCTTTTTGCTTCTTGTGGTATAGCTGAAGACAGGATACTCAGCACACAGTTTACCCTAGTAGCTATATGGTTCTGGGTATATAATTACACTATCATATGGTCATTTCATTTGGGTAGAGTTTTTTGATGTAATATCCTAAAATGAGATTTGCTTTCTATTTGTCTCTTTTTTTTCTTGGAAAAGACTTTTTCAAATGAGCTCTTCATAAAGTGAGTTTCTATTTGTATGAGTGCTAACACTGACCAGT